GTGGCCGCCCGCATCCAGTTCAAAACATTCACATTCACATGCTGTGAATGGATCGGGTCCAGCTTACATCCAGGACATGGTCAAACCCTACATCCCAACCCGCACTCTCCGCTCTGCATCTGCAAAACTACTCGTCCCTCCCTCACTGAGAGCAAAACACTCGACTAGATCTCGACTCTTCGCTGTCCTTGCGCCGAAATGGTGGAACGAGCTCTCTGAAGACATCAGGACCGCAGAGAGCCTTCACATCTTCCGCCGCAAACTAAAGACACACCTCTTCAGACTCTACCTCGACTAAAGACTAACAAAGTGTAGCACTTAAATTGTACTTGTAACGTCACTCATCTACAGCAAATTGTAAATTGGCTTATTTGAGGAAATTGCACTTTCCTTGTTTCTTGTTCTCCTGAGTTTGTACCCTATGGTTGAATGCACTTATTGTACGTCGCTTTGGATAAACGCGTCCGCTAAATGACATGTAATGTAATGTAATGAAGGTGTACTAGCTAAAAGATGAAGACTTAAACGATGTATGCTTTGTTAAATTCACTCATTGGGGCATAAAGCCAACTGAATCTACATTGAGTGCATTGGAATGTGAGGGACAGATAGTACAGTGAGGTTTCAGGTTACAGCTGCAGCTTCACACCTCGACGTGAAGGGGACAGTCCAAGAGGTGACCCTTTGAAGAAGAAGCCAATGACATTCAAATGCACCCAAGAAGACACACCTCAAGAGTTTTCAAAGGACCAAAGCGGGGAAAACAACCCGCATATTGACTGGGCCACCGGTAAAATCCTGGGTTGGAGCTCTCTGTCACTCAGTCTGCCTCAAGTCAGCTCAGACTGCTAGGGTCGAGGCCACTCAACACAGCAATCAGGTAACCCCCATTGATCTGACCTTAGTTCCCCTTGTATACCATGATCTCCAAGAGGTTTTTAACAAGGACCGAGCTCTCTCACTCCCTCCTCACCGTCCGTATGATTGTGCGATTGACCTCCTGCCTTGAGCCCCTCTTCCCGCTAGTAGACTGTATAATCTGTCACGCCCTGAGAGAAAAACTATGGAGAATTATATTGCAGAGTCTCTAACTGCAGGGATAATCCAGCCTTCTACCTCCCCTCTTGGTGCGGGATTATTTTTTGTTGAGAAAAAGGACTCAACCCTACACCCCTGCATTGATTTCCGTGGATTAAACAAGATTACAGTAAAGAATAACTACCCACTACCACTGATCAGTTCCAATCTGTGTTCCCTAGAAGGTGCCAAGCTATTCACCAAACTGTACCTCCACAATGCCTACCACCTTGTTCCGATTAAGGAGGGTGACGAATGGAAAACAGCATTTAATACACCTCTAGGTCATTTTGAGTATCTGGTTATGCCGTTCGGCCTTACTAACGCTCCCGCTGTTTTCCAGGTCTTGATTAATGACGTTCTCCGGGATTTCATCAACCGCTTTGTGTTAGTCTACCTTGATGACATCCTCATCTACTCACGGTCTATTGCGGAACACATTTGTCCGCCAGGTTCTCACCAGGTTGTTGGAAAACCGACTGTTTGTGAAGGCTGAGAAATGTGATTTTCATGTGGATACTGTGTCTTTCCTGGGCTATATCATTCAGAGTGGGAGCGTCAAACCAGACCCTAATAAGGTTAAAGCAGTGGAGAAGTTGCCGGCCCCCAAGTCTCGCAAGGAATTGCACCGGTTCCTGGGGTTTGCTAGGTTCATCCGAGACTACAGTAAGGTTGCCTCACCACTCACTAGACTCACTTCTATTAATGTGAGGTTCTGTTGGTCCCCTGAGGCACACAATGCTTTTTGTAAGCTCAAACAACCCATTCACCCATTTTGGTGCAGCCTGACTCCAGTAAGCAGTTCATCGTCGAGGTAGATGCTTCTGACGCTTGGGTCGGGGCAGTGCTGTCACAGTTTGTGGGTCCCGAGAACCGTTTGCATCCCTGTGCCTTTTTCTCTCGTCGTCTGTCCCCCACAGAGAGCAATTATGATGTTGGGAACCGTGCGCTGTTAGCTATTAATTGGCGCTGGAGGAGTGGCGACATTGGCTGGAAGGAGCTGAAAAGCCTTTTGTGGTTTGGACTGACCACAAGAACCTACCTCCAAACCGCCAAGAGGCTGAACTCCCGTCAAGCCAGGTAGGCATTATTTTTCAGCTGTTTCAACTTTACCCTCATCTACCGACCAGGTTCTCGCAACGTCAAGCCGGACGCTCTCTCTCGCCTGTAAACCTCCGAAGACCACAGCTCCACTCCAGACTCCATTCTCCCATCCGGATGTTTCATTGCCCAGCTCTCATGGGGGATCGAGAAGGTGGTGCGGGATGCACAACGACTGCAGCCTGACCCAGGTAATGGACCAGTTAACCGCTTGTTTGTCCCTGATTCTGTCACCTCTCAGGTGCTGCATTGGATACACACTTCCCCTTTTTCTTGGCATCCCGGTTACAAACGCACCCTGGAGCTGCTCAAACGTCATTTTTTTTGGCCCCAAATGGACCAGGATACTCAGGAGTTTGTGGCTGCCTGTACCACCTGTGCTCGCAGCAAGGCTTCCCGCAGAGCACCTTCTGGCCTGCTCCACCAAATCCCCATCCCAGGTAGACCCTGGTCACACATCGCTGTGGACTTCGTTACTGGACTCCCCACCTCTCGAGGTAACTCTGGGATTTTCACTATTGTGGACCGTTTTTCTAAATCCGCCCATTTTGTTGCTCTTCCCAAACTGCCCACTGCCTTGAGGACGGCGGAGCTTCTAGTTGATTATGTTGTGCGTTTACATGGAATCCCTACAGACATTGTTTCGGATCGGGGCCCCCAGTTTGTGTTCAGGGTTTGGAAGGCCTTCAGCAAGGCTATGGGAGCCACGGCCAGCCTGTCTTCGAGCTATCACCCTCAGACTAATGGCCAAACAGGGAAGACTAACCAGGACTTAGAAGCAGCCCTTCGTTGGTATGGTTGTCCACTAGAGACATTCCCCTCCTCACAGAATCCCGTAAGCTCTCACCCCGCTACATTGGTCCATTTCCCATCCTAGAAGTCATTAATCCCTCTGCTGTTAAGCTAGCTCTGCCTGACAATATGAGAATACGTCCCACTTTTCATGTTTTTCAACTCAAGCCAGTCTCTGTCAGTCTCCTGTGCCCCCCTTACCCACCCCCGTAACCCGCCCGCCTCATTGATGACCACCCTGCCTTCACTGTCCGCCGCCTGTTGGACGTCCGGCGTCGTGGGAGGGATCTGCAGTTCCTGGTGGATTGGGAGGGTTACGGTCCTGAGGAGTGATCCTGGGTACCACGTTCTCTCATCCTAGATCCATCTCTGATCAACGACTTCTATAGAGACCATCCTGAAAAGCCTAGGGGGTCGGGAGGCTCCCGTTGAGGGGGGTTGTCTGTGGAGTTTTTTCCCCCTCCCCTTCCAGGTTGTCAGCTGGTCTAGTTGAGATCTTCAAGCAATTCCTGCCTGCTGCTGATCTTCTTGATTGCCTCTACTCGCCTCCAGTATTTAAGCCCGGTCTGATCTTCCAGTCTTCGCCAGTTCGTCAGTTACTCTTGTGGTAATCTTCTTCCCGGCTGCTGTTCTTTCGAATAGTATTTTGTTGCTTAACAATTAGTACTGGTATTGCTGTCCAGGATTTAAATCCCAGCCGTCTGCTTCTTCCCTAGTTTTACTCTGTGTCCTGCTCCTCCGCCTTGACCAGCTCTTCTCCCTGCCTCGCCAGTTCCCGTCCGGAGCTCCAGCATCCAGCCTCCCCAGTATCAACCTTTATCAACCTGTGTGTTAAAATAAACTTCGGTACTGAAGTTCAGTCTGCCTAGTGGATCCAGTTCTTTGAAAAAACAGCCCACACTTTTATTTATCAAATGAGTTGCAAAATGAATAGAAATTATAGTGACGTTGACAAGGTTAGAAATAATGATTCTTACTTTGCTTTCGTCAAAGAATGCTCCATCGGCAGCAGTTTTCAAACCTTTGGCATCAAAGCTGTTCATTTGTTGAGGATATCTGTAGAAATTTCACCCCACCCTTCCTGAAGCACCTTCCACAAGTTGGATTGGTTTGATGGGCATTTCTTGGGTTCTCACACAGCTCAATGGGGTTGAGATGTGGTGACTGCGCTGGCCACTCCATTACAGACAGAATACCAGCACCCTGCCTCTTCCCCAAGTAGTTCTTGCATAATTTGGAGGTGTGCTTTGGGTCATTGTCCTGTTGTAGGAGGAAATTGGCTCCAATCAAACGCTGTCCACAGGTTATGGCATGGCGTTGCAAAATGGAGTGATAACCTTCTTTTTTAAAAACCCTTTGACCTTGTACAAATCTCCCACTTTATCAACACCAAAGCAGACCATCACATTACCTCCACCGTGCTTGACAGATGGCGTCAGGCAGCATCTTTTCACCTATTCTACGTCTCACAAATGTTCTTCTCACCTCAAACTTTTGTCTGTCCATAAAAGACAGCACTTTTTTCTAAACGTACTCTGTCCAATGTCTGTGTTCTTTTGCCCATATAAATCTTTTCTTTTTATTGGCCAGTCTCAGATATGGCTTTTTCTTTGCCACTCTGCCTAGGAGGCCAGCATCCCGGAGTCGCCCCTTCACTGTAGACAGTGACACGCGTTTTGTGGGTACCATTTAAAGAAGTTGCCAGTTCAGGACCTGTAAAGCGTCTATTTCTCAAACTAGAGACTCTAATATATTTGTCTTCTTGCTGATTTGTGCACCTTGTTAGAGCCTATTTGTGCTGTTTTCTGAAGGGAGTATATATATATATATATATATATATATATATATATATATACATACATATGTATGTATGTATATATACATACGTGTGTGTGCACCCCTAGGCACGATAGGCAGGCCGTAACAGTGCACATCAAAAGCACTGAACTGAATACTCCACATATCATTTTTCGAATGGTTGTATTGATTGCCTTCTGTTTTTTTTTTTATTTAAAAACCACAAAAACGAATGGTTTGACAAAAGACACTTTATTAAATAGCACACATTCTGCCGCGATAATTATTCATGTATGTGGATATATAAATCTTACTTTACAGTATTATACTGATATCTATTTTAACAAACATACATTTTTAATCATGATCACTACACAACATCAACTCATTACATTATAGACAGACACAGGGCACAAGGTAAATCTATCTAAAATATAACTGCCTAAAATCCTGCTGGGTTAACCTCTATGTTCAATACAATTATTATTGCCTAGAAAGTAAACATGCAAAGAAATAATTTTCAAAACGTTTTCCTTAGCGAGGGCTACGGAATCAGAGCTGCTTTATATTGCATTTCCAAGGTCAAGTTTTTCTGACCTTGGAAATGTCATATAAAACTGAGGTATTGTTCAGTGTGGCAGGCTTGCTACTATAAGGATATCTCTACCTACAATATCACATACTTTAAATACATGACAGAAGATTGTGTGTAGCTAGTTAGGTAGGTTACAAAGACCATGAACAAATAAAACACGTAGAGCAAAAGTTTCCATGAAAAATACCATTTTCCACTGAAAAAGTGGAATAATCGTCACTGTCTAGTATGCATTTATAATCCCATAAACTCCTCTAAACAAATGTGAATACAAATGCAAAGCAATAAACATGAAGGAGAAGATCTTGATAGCTGTTGAGGGCTGACGAGGGAGCACTGTAATTTCTTGGTTTACGCTTCTCTCTCCAAATCTTGAGGCCCTTTAGAAAGCGAGAGGGGGTGAAGGGTTCAGTTGATTCTAAAAGGCACAAAATGATGCACAATCACTTTTTAGTTCAGTATCTAAGAAGCATTGTAAGTACATGATGATTAGCAATTAATTAATTAATGACCACTTTTTTTTTTATTGCTAATAAATTAATATTGCAATAAATAATCCCTTATGTTAGTTTTGTTGCAGAAAAACGGTATTTGGAATTTTGCGCTTTGTTAATATTTTTATATGTACCTATTCAAAAAATCCGCAAAACTCTGACAAAAACAAACTCAGTTTCAGATCTTTCTGTTCGTCTTCAGACAATAGTCTAAATCCACACAATTCAATTAAAATGATGATTTTGGGAAACCTTCATTTTATGTCGCCTGGATAGGTTTTTTGCTGACACTGTTCATTGTACTACATTGGTTTCCCTCTGTACTGTACAGAGTCTGTACATCAAAACATCAGAACAATTGCTACACTGTGTCCCTAATTCAATACAATGTAATTATTATTGGTAATTGCAATGTTGTCACAAATTATTAGATTGACAAAATAATGACAATAAAAACCCAAATTGTTTCAACCTGGAATTACCAGTCATCACATTTTCCCAGTTTTGAAAGTAAGTTTTGTTTGCGACTACTGGCACCATACACTTCTTTATAGTATGTACACAATCGACAGCTACTACTAATCTCCTGCCAAATCAATAAAACATCTGATTAGTTTCCTACAAATGTAGATGAATATTGAGTTTAATTACAGTACATGTTGTAGCCATAAATGGGTATCTAACAACAGCGTTGGTGTTAACAGCAGTTTGCTGTGAAGTATTGGATAAAAGAACTACACGTCTGATAATCAAAAGTATAGTTAATATTATGTGAGATTTGGATAATATAAAACTATATAACTATTTCAGATTATTTACCTTTACCCACCCACACACGTTACAGGTTGTCATTTTTCTCTGTGCTACTATTACATAAGTTCACCATTAGAAGCAAGGACGTAACCATGCATTCTTTGGGGGGGTCGTGTCCCCCCCAATATACAGCAGAAAATATGTTTCCGTTTTATGAACAGTTTGAGTGTCTCTCAGTGGGGCAGCGCGGCGGGCACCAAGCTGACAGGCGGCAGATAAGCCACACGAAAAGTCCCCCCGTCGACCGTAGCGTCCCCCCCAATATCTCAACCATGGTTAAACCCTTGATTAGGAGAGTGCTGACTTTTTCCTTACCATTATACCAAAATACCATTTACCGCAGGTGGTTCAAAGGTACTATGTACACCGGAGAATGTATTGAGGGAACGCAGAGATTCATAAATCACATCATGACTTGCATTTTCAAATGTCTTTTCATTCGGCAGGTGGCTCATTTGGGCCCAGTATGCCCTCTGGAGGGGTGTTGGGGTCCAGGAAGTCTGGGTGTTGAAGTTCCTTCAGGTATTTGGGTGTGGTGAGAATATGGGTGGAACCTAAAGGGAGAAAAGCCTTAGCAACGTCTGAATCCTGAATCATTAGAGACATAAATTACTCAGCAGAAGTTTTACAAAATACAGCTAAATATGACTATGACGTATGATGACTAAAAACCTAATGAAATATTCGCTGCAGATGATTTTGCAATGTCTTACTTATGTATGTCACCTGCTTCCTGTGCCTGACATTGCAGTCATTCACAACATATGAGAGCGTCAAACTGTGCTGAATGAGCTGCACATGAAACAATCTCAAAAAGATACATAAGCAAGATTGAAACATTCAGATTAAACCCAGAGACTGGATCAAATATCCTTCTAAAAAGAATAAAATGACTGCTATGACTGATACTATCACGGTATGGCTTTATAGCTGGCTGTATTTAGTATTTTCCTCCCTCTCATGTTCCTGAGTCAACTTCACGCCCTGAACTGGTATGGTCCCCCCCCCCCCCCTCTGTTCTTGACTTTTTCCTCCTGTGTCCAATCACTTGCACCTCCTCAGTGTATTTAGACTATGACTGGATTTGAATTGTTGAATTAGCTTGGGAAGGTTCTTAACTGAGAGAAATGACCCGGAATTCAGAAGTGGTAGCCATGATAAGAGCTGTTTGAATTCTCTAGATACTAAGCTTCAATGCTTCAGATACTAAGCTTCAATGCTTCCTTATTTAGCTCCGTTATCATGGGAACCAAGGACCATCCTTTACATAAGGAAAGGAGATAATTCCGTTCCACTGTTCCTTGCGGCGGCAAAATCTAAATAGTGACGTATCATTTGGCCGTTCACAAGAAATGTTGATAATGACCAAGAAACGCAAATCATATAAGTATCCATTAGAATAACTCCTTCATCTTTTTAAAATTGGTTGTTTATTGTTTGCATGACTCAGCACTTTCCCACCACTTGAAGGGATCTAACATGATTCTTTGTAGTCCATCTTTGAAAAAATTGTAGTTTCGCCGCTGCAGATTGTCGGATCCTAAACATTCTTTTCCTGAATTCCCCATGACATTTTCCACAGAAGTCAAGGAATAGTGGTTAGGAACAGACGTAAGGTATCATTTTTTTGGACAATTCAAATCCAGTCAGTGTCCCTTGTCTCGTTAGTCAATGTTGGGGTCTTTTCGGATAGTCTGTTTGGTTTGCCTGGTAATCTCGGTCCCCATTTTCCGCTAGTTATTTTATAGCCTGACGTTATTAAAGTCTTGTTTGAATCAGCGCTTTAGTCCTTCTGTCTCCTGTTCATGATGCCCCTGTGACCGCTACATCACAGTAAAATATTTTGGGAAATATTTTATGATGAATCAGGGTTCAGTCAGAATAGCCTGAAAAAAAAATTGAAGTCAACATTTGACTAGCTGAAACCCACTTCAGAATTTATCCGAATGAAGCGGTAATTTAGAAAGAAATTAAAATCTTGAAAGAATAACATTCTACAACAACTCTGTACTATATGTGTTACTTATAACTGAAAATGATAAAATGTTAAGGATTATCTGCAAATGTACTGCTCTTAAGTAAAGTTGGGGGACATTCTGCCCCTAAAACTCACCAATCAGGGCCTCCCACTTGCCATTGGCCTGGGTGACCTCATAGACGCAGCGCATCTCGCTGTACGTCATCCCTCCAATAATAAAAAGTATGATCCTTGGCCCTGTCTTCATCTCTGTGGGGCCCCTATTCTTGTGCCAGTTACCATAGCGAGCACTGGAATATTAAAAACAAGGGTATAGATAAGTATTTACTGCAAAATTTATATTTTGAAAAAAAGTAATTGCCTTTTTTTTTCAATGCAGCTCATTTAGTCCCCTTAAAGTAAATACTAAACGACTGAAAACAAATGGCTCAAATGAACACAATCTATATTTTAGTTATTTAAGCCACGTATGGAAGTAATATGTTAGTGTGTAGTGCATAATACAATTAAAACAAAACAGACCTTGATGGAGCGGTGGCTTTGGCAGATGTTTGTCGCTGCGAAATGTACGGGTATTGCTTCGGATCAAGTTTGTCCTCAATGGCATCCTACACGGGAACATACAAGATGTATTATTCTGCACCAAAAACAAACTGACTCATTTTATACAGCTATCACCAATATACTACTACAGGATTAACAACAGTGTTGGAGGTCTGTAATAAAATATTCACTCATGACTTAATTACTTGTGTTCAAGTCATTGTTCTTGGCTACATTTTAATTATCAATAAACTACAGGATGTGGTCTTCATGGGCATTTCAAGGTAAGAATCCACTACCAGTGCCAAAAGCTGACAATATGGTCTTCCTCACCCAATCTCTTTACCATTTCTGCCAACAGTCTATTATACAAAACAAGGCTTAAGACCAGATTTATATAATAAGAGGTCATTAAAAAAATTAAACCTGTTAAAACAGCCTATTTGTAAAGGAAATTATGTGTGATAATGATTAGTGTTAGAATTGTAGTTTGTATGATACAATTTGTTATTATTAGTTATTACATTAGTATGTTAGATTAATAACTGCAGTATGAATTAAACACAATTTAGTCATTTAAATACTGTACACCCTGCCACAATGTAACGTTAAAGCTGAGGGAAAGGTTATGAGCAAAAGGATATAAGGACTGCCCCGCGAGGCAAATATTTTAATTTTGGATCATATAAACTGATTTAGACATAACGGTTCAAATGTGATGAACTCTGATCAGTTAAGATGTGTTTACGTGATTATTAATGTGTATTAGCTATTAGGTGATATCAATATTATGCACGCTATTTTATGTTCACACAATGAAGCTATATTCATTGAATGAATTACAATGCTGGAATGCTGAGGAACAGAGAGGACGGTGAGGTTTCATTTCGATCATAAACCTTTTGAATTAGGGTTACTCCAACCATCATCAAGTGCTTTGAGAGGCTGGTCCTGGCTCACCTCAAAACCTGCTTACCACCCACTCTGGACCCCTTCCAATTCGCCTACCGCAAGAACAGGAGTACCGAGGATGCTATCTCCACGGCATTACACTCCGCCCTTTCTCACCTGGACAATAACAACAGCTATGTGAGGATGCTGTTCATAGACTTCAGTTCAGCTTTCAACACTATCATCCCCTCCAAACTAATCACGAAACTCAGTCACCTGGGTATCAACACTTCCCTCTGTAACTGGATACTGGACTTCCTATCCAACAGACCCCAGTCTGTTAGGGTAGAGAACCACACCTCCTCAACCCTCATCCTGAACACCGGCGTGCCACAGGGCTGTGTGCTACGTCCTCTCCTCTACTCCCTCTTCACCTACGACTGCACACCTGTACACGGTTCTAATACCATTGTGAAGTTTGCAGATGACACAACGGTGATTGGCCTCATCAGTGATAACGATGAGTCGGCCTACAGAGAGAAGGTCCAGCACCTGGCGGTATGGTGCACCGACAACAACCTGGCTCTCAACACCAAGAAGACCAAAGAGCTAATTGTGGACTTCAGGAAGAAAACTGGCACACACATCCCCATCCATATCAATGGGATGGAGGTTGAGCGTGTCGCCAGCTTCAAGTTCCTGGGTGTCCACATCTCTGAGGACCTCTCTTGGACCCTCAACACCTCATCCCTGGTAAAGAAAGCACACCAGCGTCTCTTCTTCCTGAGGAGACTGAAGAAGGCCCATCTGTCTCCTCAGATTCTAGAGAATTTCTACCATTGTACCATACCATGCATCCCAGTATGGTATGGCAGCTGCTCTGTCGCGGACCGTAAATCACTGCAGAGGGTGGTGAAAACTGCCCAACACATCACCGGTTCCTCACTCCCCACCATTGAGGCTGTCCAGAGCAAGAGATGTCTGCGGAGGGCACGCAGCATCGAAAAGGACAGCTCTCACCCCAGCCACAGACTGTTTGCCCTCCTCCCCTCTGGGAGGCGCTACAGGGTGCTCCGTTCCCGGACCAGCAGGTTCAGGAACAGCTTCATCCCTGCGGCTGTCACTCTACTGAACTCTGCCCTCCACACAAATGTGTGTGGGGGCACACATCTCCCTCAGTGACTGTACTTCTCCCCTCCACCTTGGCTTGACTGCCACACACCCTCCTCCAGCCACTGAACATTTGCACTGTTATTGCATATCCATTTCTTACTGTTCATATTGCATAACTATTTCTTACTGTACATATCTATTTATTCACTTATTACACTTTACATATGCACATACTCTGCACTTTTTGCTATTTTGCACTTCTGGTTGGATGTTAAACTGCATTTCGTTGCCTCAGTACTTGTACCCTGTGCAATGACAATGAAGTTGAATCTAATCTAATCATCTAAGGAGATCATTAATTCTACAAATAACAAAACTCACATTTGACCGTATCCTTAATTTTAATCTTACTGCATAAAACTTGGTAGCCTAATAGCCCAAAAGGTACCTCAATAAGATCCTTCATCAGAGGGGTCCACCTGGAGAGCTGGTAGGTCTGCTCACTGATTCGCTCCTTGCGATCTGCCTTCTTAGCTTTTTTCGTTGTGCCCTGTGATAAAACAATGCTCATCACTCATTAGCTTTCACAGTGAACATATAAGTATTGCTTTACAAACTGAATATACTTATGTACATCAAGCAACATTCTGTACATAGTGGTGAAAGTGTATATTTACCTTGGTGAGCTTTGTGGTCGGTTTTTGGAAAATGTCTATTTACATTGAGAGTAGTGAAATACCTTGGATGTGTTACCACTTATTCGACCAACAAAACAGATAGTTAGTTAGTTAGATAGTTATATGGAACCATGAGTAAGTTGTAAACAAAAGTCTTGAGTAAGAATCTTTCGTTTTGCGAACTGCAAGTCAAAACTAGTTTTTTTGAATATGCTTTTATCAAAGTCTGATATAGCTTCTTCCTTTGAGCGTATAAAAACTATGAAAAATCAATCCAATTCAACAGTTCATAAGATATCTTTCTAAAATATACAAATTCTTTATGTGCTTTTCAATTTCCACGCAACAAAACCAACGAAAGGAAAGGAAAGGTTAAGGAGTTTATCGTCTTAATGTGGTTCAGGATGAGATATTGAGGTCCTGGGGCAGGAGAGCTCACCTCAGAAACAATGGGAAGGCCCATGTGGGCCATGTTGGAAATGATGTCACTGTCCTCAGGTGGGATGTTTGCATGCTGAAGGAGCTTACACAGGTTCTCCTCAGTCACACCTGACACATACATACAGACACAAAAACACATTTCCAGTCTTTACACATATGTATGAGAGCATGCACACTTACAAGTATGATAATGCAGTTACAAGGAAAACTGAGAATGGATCAGAATTAAAGAAACAAAGGACAAAGGATAAATGCTTATATTTATATGTGCTTTTCTGGTTTTGTCATACAATAATGTTGGACAGTGGATATCTGACCATTCTTAAGGAAGATGTAGAGCAGGATAATGCGTATCTTGTCAGATACACTGACATTGGCATCCAGTAGAATGGGTACAATAAGCCTCATGGGGTCCTTGATCTTCTCTCCCTCTGCATCTAAGCCCATTGCAAGATCCTTAAAAACAATGCAGAGCAAAGGAGAGAAAAGCTGAACATGAGTTTCACATACATTCTATATGAACGATATCCAGGTTGGGGGTTTTCTGAGTAAAAGGGCATCAGCAGGAAGCTATCTGGAATCAGGAAACATTTATTGCCATAATATGTCAGCCATACAAAGAATTTGACTTGGCGGTTGGTGCATAACAGCAGACAGTACGACGAGACAACAGTGCAAGAGGAATAAAATAAAACATAATGCTATGGCGTAGTAATATAAGGCTATGGGTTAGTTTCAAAATAATGGAATAAAAGTTTAAAATATTTAAAAATTAAAAATGTACCAGTGTACAGAAAGTGACCAGTAGAATGTCAGTCAGTAGGGGAACTGGCTCAGTTAATGAGCCAGACTGCCGGCGGGAAGAAACTGTTCGTGTGGCGGGAGGTGTTAGTCCCAATGGACCTCAGCCTCCTGCCAGATGGAAGGGGCACAAACAGTTTTTGTCCAGGGTAAGAATGGTCGGCCATGTAAAAGTGCACCATCATCATCTTTGGCAGGTTGAATTTCTTCAGCTGCCTCAGGATAAACAGCCTCTGCTGAGCCTTCTTGGTGATGGAGCAGGAAACGGAAGGAATCCACAGTGGTGGCGGGGGATCACCTAGGATGATGGGGGGGGGGGGGACTCTGTTCTTCCTGAAATCCACAACCATCTCCACTGTCTTTAGAGCGTTGAGCTCCAGGTTGTTCTGGCTGCACCACGACACCAGATGGTCAGACTCCCACCTGTAGGCGGACTCATCCCCACCAGAGATCAGTCCAATGAGGGTGGTGTCATCCGCAAACTTCAGGAGCTTGACGGCCTGGTGACTGGAAGTGCAGCTATTTGTGTACAGGGAGAAGAACAGAGGGGAAAGAACGCAGGCGGTGATCCACTTGCAGGTGGGGTTGGGCACGTACAGCTGGGAGAGTTTGTCCTGCAGCAGAGACAGGATGATTGTGTTGAAAGCAGAGTTGAAGTCAACTAACAGGATCTTGGCGTAGGTTCCTGGGGAGTCCTGTGATCCTGGGCTTCTTTGGAACAGGGATGATGGTGGATGCCTTGAAGCAGGCTGGTACGTGGCATGTCTCCAAGGAGGTGTGGAAGATGACAGTGAACACCGAAGACAATTGGTCAGCACAATGCTTCAGGGTGCGGGAGAGACGGGGTTGGGCATTTAATAAACGGTTTGTACATAGGAAGTTCAAGGGTGAGATTTTGTTTGTTAAAGTCTCCGAGGACAATAACTAAAGGAGTCTGGGTTGGTCTGCTCCACACGCCGTATCTAGTTGGTGAGTGTCTGCTGTGCCTCGTGCACATTGCCCGGCGGCGGAATGTAAACACCGACCAGGATGAATGAAGCGAACTCACGGGGGAGTAAAAGGGTTTACAGTTGATGATGATAGTTGAAAGCAGATTCCTCCACAATTCGTCTTGCCGGAGAGCTCCGGCACATCCAGGACATTCGACAATGACGCAACAAGTGACAAGAGACACGGCTTAAATACACTAGGGAGGTGCAGGTGATTGGACACAGGTAGAAACAATCAGACAATCACAGGGGATGACAGGACAAGGCAGGAAGTGAAGGTACCCAGGGAGACAAGAAGCAGAAACTACAAAATAAGACAGGAAATAAACCACACCGTGACAGAGTCAAGTGGGGACAAGGCCAGGCTGCAGTCCTGGAGGAGCCGCAATCTGCCGCCCCTCCATTATTTGCCTCCAACCCCTCTGAACCCCTTCCCTCTAGCAGAAGTTTGCGGCCCATTAGTACCAAGACCTCCCGCCACAGAAACATTTTTTTCCTGTCAGCAGTTGATCTCTTGAACCAAGTCTGTGTCTCTCATTGACCCAGATACTTCATCCCCAGAATATTTGCACAGTGGTTTCTTGCTTGTATATTTTTATCTAATTTTACTTTATCTATCTATCTTATCTTTATTGTTATATTGCACCAATGCACCAAGTCAAATTCCTCTATGTGTAACATATGTGGCAATAAATGGCTCCTGATTGTGATTCTGATTCAGAAAGTTTATGTCTACATTTTGTGTGGTTAGCATCTTTAAAAACAATTTCTATTAGCTCATAGCAGTTCCGTTTTGGAACCTGTGGGTTCAGAGCATAGCTAATTAATGGTTCTCAACTATTAGCAATGCAAAGTTACAAAGTACAAAGTTGTCATTATGACACTGTGCCTAATCATCAGGCTAATCATGTCCTTACTAAAAGCTTGGTCTTGTAGAAAGAAAAATTAGCAGATTTCCATCAGCTCCATAATAAATACTGCCTTCAGTTGTTTATGATGGAGTATCACATTGATTTCCTTCACTTTCCACACTATAACTCCAACTCTAACTCTACGTCTAAGTTCTATAACCAAGTCATCTGTGTGACTTACCTGCTCTACACGGCACAGTTTGTCAACGGTACCCTGGTAGCGATTCATACAGTCTTCAGCCAGGTGCAGATGGGTAGAGAACTGAAAAAGTCACAGAGGAGAGATGGGGTTGGTGAATTGTGGTGAACTTTGAACTCAATTAGATACGAACAATAGAAAATAAACTGGTTATAGTGTCCTTTACTTGCTTATATATTGTATTATTGTTATTGTTATTGTTGGATTAACTGGTGACTATAGCTACATGCACATAAATATGTGTAGAAATGTACGATGTTCATGGTGGCACAGCCTTTCTAACACGATGAGTGATACACTAACTGCATGGTTGGCCAGTTTAATTTCCATCCAAACGTCTCTGTGTTTTAGATGAAGAAATATATAGATAGAAAATATATAGTTACATGAAATGCTGTAACTGTTTAGATGCACAGTGACCCTTCAGGTCTTACCTTACTGAGCTCTTTCTGATACTGAGGCATCTTCTTCAACATCTGAGCCAGTTCCTTCATTGTGGTCTGAAAGACGCAGAGAATATATTCAGTGTGTGAGGCAGCCAATACAATCTGTGAACGTTACCTGTTTAAGGCCTTGCCCAGGAGGACCGAAAATATGCATTGTAATATAGGGACAATTGTCATCAGCACAATGTGCATTTTTACATTTAAGAACATGGGTGGTTTGTAGTCTTCCTCAGCAAGCAGCGGCGCATAGTGCAGTTCCTACTCGGCTGTTTTTCAGACACACGCCACCAGAGGTCGTTGTACATCACAATTGTACATATATATAAATCTGTGTATCCATGGAGACTGTCCACACACTGTAATAAGATTGTGATTTAGTATAATTTTTAGCTTTTTTCAAGCAGTCTACTTACAACAAACAAATTCCTTCATGTGTAAAATAATACTTGGCAATAAAAATGGCGTCTTCTTCTTAATGATTCATGTTAGTCTGGGTCAGCTTCTTCCTTGGTTGACTACAATTTTTGCTTCGGATAAAACGCCAGATAAAAAGTTTTGTAATTCTCTCCCCAGAGTTTTTGTTTTGTTCTGCTTCTGCTAAAATGTTGTTGCTTTCACAACATAACAGTCAATGGCAAACTAAGACTAGGGTTGTCTTACAAAAACATCCAAAAGCAGAGGTGATAACTAAGAGCAAGTGTTTCATGAGCACACTAAATTAGCCTGAATGGGATGAGGAGGGCTGAAGCTGGAGTTTTGGAAATCTGTGTAAGCATACAGTCTGAGCTGAAGAAGAGCAAATCAGAAGACAAGCATCGGCAGTGTGAGTACGAGGACAGGAGTTTGATGAAGAACAGTACGATATTGTAAGTGAAGTGAAAAGCTCCAGAATAAATATTTGTTAAATGAAGACAGAAGAGTCCAGGCCTATGTGTAGACATATTTGTACAACATATGCAAAACATAAAAAAGAAAGTTAAATTAAAATCTAGTCATCTGTGTTTTCATGGCAAACCAAATAGGAAATATGTTCTAGTATCAACTAACTTTAACCTACTATATCATGCATGATATAGTAGGTTAAAGTTGATTTCCATCCGTCAATCAATCTGGAACTTTAAGCCATAAGGAATGCATGTGTGGAGTGAGTGTTTGCTGTCCTGTCCTTGTGTCCATGCTTTCCTGATTCTTGTTGTTCTTGTTCTGTTACCTCTTGATTGAATGCACATATTGTAAGTTGCTTTAGATAAAAGTCTCAGTCCTAACGGTGACTACTCTACCTTTTCCCCAGTGTTCATCTTTTTGCTAGCAGAGAAGTCTTTCAGTGATCGAGTAACCGCCCTGACAAATGAGACAGAGATAGAAACACAACATAAATTGTCACAATGACAACATTGATATTAAATGGGAAATGCTCAGTGTAATTTCTGTTACAGAACATATGTTGTTTGTCCATGACAGTAGTCTGTATGTTTGAAAGCCAAAGCCACCCACGTTGACACTTCTGCAATGTGTTTGTGTCTCAGAGTCAGCCAAAGGTCATCATCCTCATCTAGAACTACTTCCTTCATTCTCGTCTCTCCCATCCCACTGGTCTCGAACCTGAGTGAGAGGACAAGAGAGAAGCAAAAGTCTGAACAAGTGTATTTAAGAGAGAAAGATTATTCTATTTGTAAATACAGAAATATGCAGATCAACTCTGAACAATTGTATCATCCTTATGTTGTGCAGTGGATCCATTTAAATGTTTGTGTCTGCTTTGTAAGGTACTGTTTTACCATATTGCTCTTTTTTCTGTATGTTATTAGTATTAATGGATCATTTTTCAGGTTGAACGAGATGTTGGGGAAGGACATCACTAAAATATATGCCTCAAACCAAGTTACAATCACAATATTATTATCCCAATTGGCTGGGCAACTCCCAGCAGCTGACAGGCCTTCTTTTGTAACATCTTTACCTATAAACGTCATTCTCAATGCCCAGCAGGTCGTAGGACATGGCCTGCAACGTGAGCTCATGCAGGAGAGGCGACACAGGATCAAAGCCACGATCCAGAATGAGCAGCTGAGTACGAGACTTGTCTGGACCCTAGATGCAGCAGAACAGAAACTAAACACATTTCTTAAAGATAGATGTATGAACTTTGTACACGCAGCTCATTCAATATAGCTAAATTAGGATTAGGCTTCATAGTCAACTGAAGTCTGGTAATTTTGCTAACTACAGACTACAATAAAGGAACTTATAATAACACGAGTAGAACCTTTCTGGGAACATATCAATGTAATTTGCTTGTTATGCCAGATTGTGCTTCCCATAAATAAATCGTCTTCCATACCTCTCCCATGGTGGGGTCATCAGCCTTGTAGCCATCCAATTTCTCCTGTAACATCTGGGCGAGAACTGCGCAGTCTTTGTATTCCCTGAAATAACAGACATTGAAGACATTCAAGACATTGAATTTATCATAATTTCCATAAGAATCTGTATGAGCAACCCGTTGTTCACAGTCAAAACGGAGGTGCTTTTGAGGGAATAAATATGCTACTCTTAAGTAAATCTAAACTAAACTTGGAAAACACATTTACAGTTGAAGACTGAAGTTCCACTACTCTAAAAGTCGGAAATCTCGTCTACTCCTTTTTTCGGAAACAACAGATTCATACAATTTATGACAAGCAGAGGTTCATTTTTTAGGAAAATTGTTCCTCTGTCAAATATTTCAAAATTTGCTTAAAAGAACATTGAACTGCTGTTTTGTAAATGCTTTTTTATTGTCCATGTATTCCTTGTTTTAGATTTCTTACTGAATTCGTAGTTGTTTCTCTTAGTTAATGCAACTTCTGTTTAATGAATAAACAGAAGCTCCTGTGTTGGTGTGTAATCAAAAATATCAAAACATAAAAGGTGGAAGGTCATGGGAAAGTTTGGGTTCAGCGCTGGTTTCATAGCTAAGATCAAAGTGTTGTACAGTGAGGTTGAGAGTGTGCTGAAGACAAACGGTAGTCTGTATACTCCTTTAGAGGGGTCCGGCAGGGTTGTGCTCTGTGCGGGATGTTCTATGCACTCTCCCTGGAACCCCTTCTCGTCAGAATACGCTCTAGCCTGGAGGGCTTGGTTTTACCTGGTTTTAGTAGCATCCCAATTGTGGCACTGCTTAACCTGTCTAGACCGTCCCTCTGGGTTTCTAGCCCACATACAGAGAAAGATGGTGGATTTCTTTTGGGAGGTTCTAGACTGGGTGCCACAAGGGGTGCTGTTGTTTAGACAGAGAGCAAGGAGGACAGGGCCTCGTCCACTTGGCCAGCCGGACGGCCACTTTTAGGTTAAAGTTTTTGAAAAAATACCTCACATGTTTAGGGTTTAATGTGGCGAGATGTGGCCAGTTGCATCCTCAGACGTACAGACAACCTGGGGCTGGATACTGCTCTGTTTTTTGATGGATACCAATATTTTAAATGTAAAAGGGCTGCCTCCGTTTTATCAGGGTGTTTTTAAGTCTTGGGCCTCCTGGAGCTGTGGAGCCAGAGGCTGACGGGGGAAGAGAGGAGCCTCCTCATGGAATATAGCCAGAAGAAGATGAAACCGGACCCTGCAAAGACTTTTCCAGAAATCTACCTGAGCCCGGGGTTAGGGGACCTCACCGTCCCCCTTCTAGCCACAACACGCCCAGACTTTGCATGAAGTGGGCAAAAAGACATGGTATTTTAACTGTGTGAAGGTCACAAACAGAACTGGACTGTGCAACAGGCTCCCCACTATGTGGTCCAACAGACAAAGAAAAAATGGACCTGGCCCACAGTGGAGTTTAAACAATTTAAGGTGAACGTGGCACACTTAAGGCTCGAGTGTTTTAACAATTACAACAAGCCCTTCTTTAGGGCCTTTAAGTATAGACCCCTTCACGGATGACGTCACAGGAAAATTCGAAGTGCGTAGTGCGCATGTCGGGGTCAGAAAGTTCCGTGAACTTCCATCAATCGTGTGTAAACGAAACATTTTCTCTTCAAAATGCCGACTTGTTGCGTCGTGGACTGTGCAAATCGCACCAGTTGTGGTCTCAGGATTTTTAGGATTCCTGCAGGATCTCATCCTTTTCAAAAAAATAGACGACGTCTGTGGCTGCAAGCCATTAAACGGGCAGACTGGGACAATGCTACAATCAAAGAAGCTCGCGTTTGCAGTGTTCACTTATGTTCACATATCAGGTAAAGTCATCCTTTGTCACCCCTTTCTGTTAGATTAAACTCGAAAGCCAGGATTGTGTGAACAATTTTCTGTACACTAGGCTATAACATCAAGATATGCTTGTTGATAGGTTTTTTTTATGTCATGGACCTGTGTCATGTTAACTACAGACACAGCCAGCTGTTAGCAGTTAGCCGCAGGCTATAGCGCCAACTTTGTGACAACATTTGTTTAGCTGTTACTTAACATGACTTAACTCTAGCCATAGTAAGTAAACAACTGTTTTCTGTAGACTGATTTAATAGTTGGGTGAAATTTGATACCTGGCATTATTGTGACCTGGGTGTGTCATGCTAACGTTACAGACTTCGTAGACTAGCTTTAAGTTACATTAGCGCTTTCACTGCACAACAGTAAATCGCATTGTGGTTGTATGTGTGAATGAATTTAATGTAATCAATAGATATAGATAACACCTTAAAACTTTAATTAATAATGCTTATTTGTTCGTATTCACATATGCAATTCATAGAGGGGAAATTTGAATAGCCTACACACAGCATGAAATAATATGTAACCCTATAGCCTAACTATTATAGCTAGCTGCTACTACATCCAGGTAACGTAAGCAGCAGCAGTAGTTTCTAGTCAATTACATTTTTACAACATACATATTAAACAATGAAATGGAGGTAATAGGTACCCAGCCATACAATTGCAGTTCACAGTCAGTATGTAGTTGTTGGATTTGTTAATGATAGCCCAGGTTTTGTACAGTTGAATTTTGTGTCCTTGCCACTGGCTAGGCAAAACCTCAGTCCGTAATACACAAAAGTCATGAGACAATTCTTGATATTCGATATCCTGGACATGACCGCAAAGTACAAAGTGGTATGCGTCAAGAGACTTGTACGCCTTTATTTTTTCTTTAGTGTAGACACTGGGTTTTTCTATCAGGTATAAATAGATGTCAGGCCACTGCAGCTTTGGCCATTTAGCTGGATCTTTCACCCATTGCCCTGACAGTGAGTACGGGTCAGGAAACCTCACTCCGTTGCTAAGCGTTAGCTTATTAATGTAAGACAAGCGATCTCCTACTGTTTACCATTAAAATACGTTGAGAAAGTGTCCGGTTGATCCATATTTTTATGGTTTGAATTTGATGTTACCGCTACTGTTCCCGTTCATTCCTCAATTCCAGTGGTCGCAAACCCTAGTCTATTAACATTAACCACGCAATGTTTTCTAACCCCAGGCTGCGCGCGCACCTACCCGTTCTACCGAATGTTTACAAACATTGAAGGGGTCTATTGGAGCGATGATTTTGTTGCCGTGGGACGCTATGGCCGACACGGCTCGGGGACCAGAGTCCGATTCCTTGGCGTGAGGAATTGTATGTGTGGCGGGAGTTAAAAGACAGACAGTCAATCTGTCCAATCAGAAGGGTCCATCCCCTGCTTCCTGCTACAAGGCCCTACCCTTTCCATAAGAAGTTAATGTCATTGTGTTTTCCTATTTGCTGTTGTGTTTTGCACTTCAGGGCCACCGTACACTGGCGAGCTGGCATTTACACAAGTTTTTATCAGGTGATTACATAGTTTTATTTTTTTTTGGAAAGGAAAAACAAAAGAAAAAAATACCACTTTGATTAGCTTAGCTGATTAGCTGATTTGCTTAGTGTAAAAGATATAAATACGTGTAAATAAAGTGTTTAAAAAAAAAAAAATCTGTCTCACTTTCTCCCCCTACCTCTCCCTTTCTCAGAATTTCTCTTTCTTTCTTTTCCTTCATCTCCTTTTCTCTCTCATCCTCCCTCCATCTCTCTAGTCCCCCCCAACCCCCAATCCCATAATTTCAAAATAAAACCCCCCATGGAGGGAATTCTTACTGTAATGTTTCTGACGAGGCCTATCAATTAATAACTAAGGAAAAACATTGTCTCCCAACCCCCACACCTGTTTCATTGAATACCTATTGCTCTTTTAAATACTAATCCACTACTAATATTATTAGTACTACTAGTAATTCAACTGGTATTAATAATAATAATAAATAATAATGACTCTTACTTCTACTAAAACTACTAGTAATATTACTAAAGCGTCTAGTAATACTTCTACAACTGATACTTCTACTACCATTACTAACACTACTCTTACTAGTATTTCAAATGGTATTAAATACTAAAAAGACGTACTACTACTGCTACTAATACTACTACTATTAGTACAAGCAATACTATTACTACCATTAATAGTGACACTGCAACTGATTACTACTGAGTATTACTCTTACTATTATAAAACGTACTACTAGTATTTATACTGATATTAATACTTCAATAACTACTGATATTACTACTACAAATGATACTACTATGACTACTACTGATACCACTGGCTATTTCTACTGCTATTAAAATTACTACAACTAGTAGTACTACTGAAAACAACTAATTCTAGTCGTGACTGACATTACTACTCTTACTACTATAAGAAAAGTACTACTAGTAATTATACTGCTGTTAATACTACAACTAATGCTACCCCAAATACTACTATGACAAATAGTATTAGTGTTATTAGCTGATAATACCAGTACCACAAGTACTAGTACCACATAATACTAAATACTACTACTGATATTACTACAAAAAATACATTTTTTTTAAATTCTTCTCAGCATTTGTTATTTCTGTATTTCCAAATTCATTTCAGTTTCTACCTTTTCTGTATTTTCCGCAGCTTTTTAAAATTCATTTCAGCTCCTGCAACTTCTGTATTTTCAGAAAATATTTCAGCTTTTATGTTTTAATATTAACTTCTGTATTTGTTTTGCAATTTTTGCAATTCATTTCAGCTTTTCTCATTTCTGCATTTTCAAAAAATCAAAAATTAATTTCATCTTTTTTGCAGGAAATGCATTTTCTAGTTTGTACAAATTTGTACAAATCTCAAACTCTCTCCCAGTAGCTTATTTTTTATTTTTATCATGATTGTGATTGCATTCATTTATCACGTTAAGGGCCTCGTAGTTTTGTTAAAACTGTCTGTTGTTCTTTTATCTTCTTTTTACCACTCACTGTTTTGTCCCTTGTTTCAGACACCTACTCCTCCCTCCTCGTCTGTCCTCCCCCTGTGTTATTGCAAGCCCCGCCCTGATTGTTATTATCATGATACTTTTAGATTAAATGTCTGTCAGGAAACTATAGTGATTATTATTCTAATTGCTGGGAAATAAATCAATTTAACACCCACACAGTTTTTTAGGCTTAATGTTGGTAGAGTCAACTGGAAATCAGTATTGAATGAACTACATTTTGAATCAGAAATTAGAAATTGAAAATATAGAAATTGTTGAGTGAGCATGTACTGTATCTGGATTCATACTGATGGTATTAGTATTATAGTATTATATTATATTATAGTAAATATATGAATGTATTATGGACATTAGGTAAGTATAGAAGATGTTTTGTTTGGAAACTAAATTGTACACTTGATTACACAAATGCAACATATGAAGGCATCACAGTTAAACAAAATGGACAACAGAAAAGGGCTGCTTGCTGGTCTCACCCTCTGTACCGGACGCCAGGATACTCTTTGAGTGTTGCACAGAGGGTGGCGATCTGCTCAGCACAACGCTCCAGCATGTTGGCCTTCACGTCAGCCTTGAATGGGCTATAGAAGTCCTGAAATGCATCCACTTTGTCCAGGGAGAAAACCTGAACACAGAAGACAACATGAGATCCAATCTCAACTTCAATCTGGACCCAACATTAAAATTATTGGTGTTACACTGTTTATCTATGGTGTGTCTCTGGGAAGACCGTAACCTGAATTGACAAAACCAAGAGTAGGTTGCGATACAGGTATGCATTAATATACTTTGATGAAGAGTTTTGGTAAGTTTTGGTCAATTTTAAGTTGTCATCCACCCATTCATAACCTATTGACAGGAGCTACCTACACAGTACCAACTTTCCACTTGTATTCAGACAATGTAGTCACAGCTACAGAGACAATGTTGGAATTAATAGCCTTGCCCAAGGACACACCAACATGCGGTTTAGCAGGGCCTGGGATCAAACTACCAATCTTCTGATTGGAGGACGACCGCAGTCTACACTCACCGACAGTCATATACAATATACATATTTAATATATATGAAGAATGAGTCCGCCAGGAGCACGACTCTTGTCCATACACTTACTCGAAAACAAACAAATACATAATCTGTTACTGACTACATCACCTTATAAAATTAATTGTTTAAGGCTGAAACCTCTAATTCAAACCACTGCTGGTCTGATATGCACTATTTCTCCATATATTTTAGGAACTATGTCAACATCATTTGGCTGAGGGGCTTGAGAGAAAATGGCCCATGCTGTTTCTCCACCCTTACATTTATCTAGCCTTCTAGACCTTTTCTTTTTAGATTAACCCACACGGCAATATGTAATCATCAGCAACTTTGAAATGTCATAACATTGAATTTGCTACACGCATTGCAAGTCACTTTTTGTTTTGAGCTCTCCTGTCCTTGATTGATTGATTAAAAATATTGAGATATTATGGTTTTAATGTATCTATCCTCTTCCAAAATGCCCTTATCAAGTACAGGGTTAAAATGGTGCAATAGCAATATCCTAGACTACATCTTACCATGAAAACAAACTCCATTCAAAAGAGAGGCAAGGTTCTCTGCAAGCATACACACTGATTGAAATCCTTCCAAACCACATCAAATCTATGATTGACATTACGATCAGCTAATTTTTTACCTGAGACTCATAGGGCAGAAATGCGATGTGGATCTCAGTCAAGGCCTTCATGGCTTTGGAGGCGCGGGATTTGGTCAACAGTCTAAACAAGGTGTCTGGGATCGCTGGTGCATATCACAGAATAACATGGGGGTTAGTGAGAAAGCAGCTAAATAAGACATGTCAACATCATCTAAAACAAATCAGAAAACATGTACTCTTCATGGCAGAATGGATTCACTCACTGTCAGTAAAGAAGACATGAGCTCCTCTGTACCTCTGGGACTGCGGGTCTCTGAAGTCATCAATCAGACCCTCAACAGACTGAGACAGCAAAGAACAATATTATCCTTATGAATGCATTTTTTAATTCTGTAGGATAAAGAGAATCAATGAAAGGCCGGATGTACTGTTCCATATAATAATTTACCTCATCTGAAGGTGTGATCAGGTAGATGGCCTCCATGCTGGGCAGAGGCTCACGGCGCTTGGTTATGTCTTCAACAACTGGAGAGCAAAGGAAAACAATAATCATAACTCTAGTTTAGGTAAGAAAGTCTAGTCTAAGTCTAATTAAGCAAAGGCTGCTTAATTAGACTTAGACTAGACTTTCCAACTTGTAGCAAATTGGAACCTCTCTGCATGACTGACTGGGACTGTCCTTGATTTTTAGCAAATATTTAAAACACTGAAACGGTAAAGGTTGCTTGATTTAACACATTGTTTTGAAATATTATGTCTTTGTTAAACGTCATTTGAAAAAGATTCTTCACCATTTGTCTTAACTTGTGCCAGTTATAGGAACTATGTGATTCAGTCACCCCTAAACTGACAAGTGGATTTTAAAAGGTTAACTCAATTCAAGGATAACTTAAAAAACAGTTTGAAACTGTATAACTATGACGTCACCAGCATCGCTTATCTTTTTCCTCGGATGGAGTTTGACACCCCTGCTCTATAACGAGAGCGAATTCATTCAGACTTGCAAACTCGTCTTGTTGCGGCTGTAATGTTCAATACAACATTTGTAGACTGAATCTACATTTATATTTAACATTTATTTTTACCTTTAACATTGACATTTATATTTAACATTTACATTTAGATGAAACAATTATATTATTTAGCAACTTTGTGTTACTGCCAAACATTATCCTTGGAGAAGTTATTGCATGAATTTACATTTCTCTTTAAATGTTTGAAAATGTGACATATGAATATAGTCATGCTTTTTTTTTTTTACATTATATATATATATATATATAAATGCCCATTCTTCAACAAAATATGTATATCGAGAAATGTTTCAACTGAAAATCTTGTCGACATAACAATTTTATGGGACCTGCATGGTACTTACTGGTGATTCCCTCTGACATAATATCTGTCATCTTGCAGCATGAGGAAATCATCTTCATACTCAGTTTGTCCACCACCAGCACCTATAACATAAATACACACAATAGGGTGCTTGAGGATTTGATTTTGATAAGTGGGTGTATTCGTATCCTTTTTCAAGAATCTATCAGAATAACAGGAGCCTTACCTTCCATTTTCCCTTTTCTCTTGCCTTCTTGATGACATTATTCATTATCTCTGTAGAGAAGGACACTTTTATTTGTGTTCAATTAAGACATTCAAATAAAATGTGGAGAACAAGGCCGTAAACAGTTGATTACAGAACTCCTCATGAGTTTACAATAACAGTTAACATACACAACTCATGCCAGCCTGATTGTGCAAATCCGTTTCCAGCGAGGACAGGGAACATCTACTCAGCTGGAGTGTAATCGTACAGAAGGGAAACAAGAATAGCATGATCCCACATCAACTAAACGATACCATACGCACGGACATATAATAAACATTGGGTTGAACCAGAAACCAAATATTATCTGGAGTATGGAGTATTATCTGGGTATGTCAGTTCCTGAGGTGTAAACCAAATCGAACACAGCCCTGACAAGGATCAACCCAGTTTCTGTCACTGGGGGTTAAAGCATCTGTCCTGGGATTGCTGCTGGGAGGGAAAAGCCCACTGCAATCACTGCCACTAATCTGCCAATCCTCTTATCTGTTCAACAGCTCCCCACAGCTATTTCTGTGCCGTCTCAGTGATGTGATGTCACAGGAAAGGAGAGTCCCTGCTTCTCACACACACACACACACACACGCACACACGCACACACAGATGATTACATTGCACACTTCCTAAAAGAATAAGTCAACATGACCCAGCTCAACAGAGAGCCACAATGACATTTCATTTGAAAAAGCTTGTCCAAAATATATAACACATAATCAGGACATTTTGGCCACAAGATAACAGTAAGATGGTGTATTGTAATATTGTCGATATTAATAATAATAAGATCTGATTCTTCTTCAGGAAGACTTCGTCATGCATCATGTATGAGACCTCGGTTTGCTTCCATTTTACATTCAACTGCCATCTTTCTGTTATTTTCCTTCCCTGTTCTTGTCTGCTTTTCTTTGCACTTTATGAAAATGTAAGGGATAAGGAGGCAATTATTTAACTAACTTGGGTGTCTGAATGAATAAAAGACTGACTATTTAATTAAACACTCAAACTAAAATGTAAAACTGACTTCCAATGTTTTGTTTTTGGGGTTGTATATTTTATTTTGAAAATCCTCTGAGAATGATGTCAAAGCACTTAATCCGTTCAGACACAGATTAGGGAGACAGGATTTAAACCAACAGACTCTGTGTACATATACTATATACGTCAATGAACAATAGCATATTTTTGAGTCAACAAAAACACCCTTGAACATATTCATACCTTTAATTTATGTCTCTAACAATACAATCTGGAGAAACAACCACTGGCAAAATGCATGTCTTGGATGAATCAGTGCCTGTTTTATGCATTGAACTTGCTAACATGAAGGTTATTTAAAAAAGGATGTCAAAAATATGCTTTGTCCTACATTAGTCAATAATTAGAAACATCACACAAAGCAAGAAGCCCTTATATCTCGAGTTTGGTAATGGGGATAGCCCTATATGACTTAAAATACTTCACATGATTTTTGAACAATGCTCATTTAGTCACAGTAGATTATTTGTCAACACGTACATACACAATACAAACATTATGATGCATAAAAAAAACTCACTTTCTCCAACAATGGCTTTTAGTCCAAGTGGTGCCATGATGAGCCTTCTGGTGCTTGCCCGCCTCGCTACACAGAAAAAGAGATCAGGAAGGGATTTAACATCAAGCACATAGGAATAACTAACACACTTCCGTTCCATTTAAATCAAAATAAAAGCCTACAGAACGAGTGTAGTGCAGTGACGTATTGCCATATTTATTCCTTATTAACCACTGCTGTGTTTTAAAGAGGAGCTTGAAATGGAAACATGAACATTCCAGTCACCTTGGAAATTGATACCAGACCTTGTGTGGAAGAAAATCTCAACTAAAAGTACAATATGTATGTTTGATATGAACCAAATATGGAAACCCAGTCCATCATAACCTATAGTAGCATACTGAAGTCCCCTATCTGTTCTCACCGTTGAGCTTTCTCTTCTCAGCTAGTGACTGGCTGCTTGTCTTATAAAATTGACACACTGACTGTATTTTACAGGACGTCAGCACTAACTGCAAACCATTAAACAACTCAAGATCTCAGCTGGTACACAAGGAAGAAAGTATCATCCCTGGAGGAAGACTTAAAGGATGTACATCGTCATGCATCATGTATGAGACCTGTGGGGAACACTACAGCAGGGACTGAGTGAACACCAGAAATATATGAACACCAAAAGTGCACACAGTATCCTTTGTGTATACAATTTAGCAGTGCTTGCTGCTGAAATGACGGATGATAAACCACAGCAAATAATACAATGGTCATTTAGACATAAGGATAATTTCTAAAACAATTCAAATGGTAAAAAATAAATACAGGTAGAGTGAGATGCATATGTAACCGTAAAATTATGTTATAACATTGTCTTGTGCTAAACCCGTGTCTCAAGTGTCTGTATTTGACCCTGACGTGCAAAGAGCAAGATGGTACAACATTTTTAATTGGCAGCTGTGTCCTGAGAAGGGACGGTGGTCAATCTCATAGACGCGTCATCAAAGTGAATTCTGTTCATGGCCTTGGTTCATATCTTATTTTGGTATGACCTTTTCAGATTCCTGTGGTGGCCTGCGGGAGACCTCACACAGGGCTTGGTGGGACACAGAATGGTGGTGCACATATTTGGCACTACTTCTTCACCTACAGTTGCAATCAAAATTATTCAACCACCCATTGCACATTAGGTTTATTGGCAAAATATACAATTTCTCAGCTGTTTGCAATAAACAAATTACACAAGAATTGTTTAAGTAGTTCAATGAAACTAATATTACAAAGGTTTTGTCCAAATTCAACACAAAATGCTACTTTTAATGACTTTAATGAATTTACTGCAGTCTCAAAATTATTCAACCCCTTCATGACAAGCATCTTCAGTACTTAGTAGAGCACCCTTTTGCTGTTATGACCTACTGCAAATGTGATGCATAGCCAGACACCAGCTTCTGACAGCGTTCCTGAGGAATCTTATCCCATTCCTCATGGGCAATGGCCACCAGTTCAGTAATATTCTTTGGTGTGCATTTTGCAACCGCCTTCTTCAAATCCCACCAGAGATTTTCAATGGGATTCAGGTCAGGCGACTGTGATGGCCAATCTAGTCTTCCATTTCTTCTTCTGAACCAAGCCTTGGTGGACTTTGAGGTATGCTTGGGATCATTGTCCTGTTGGAAGGTCCAATGACGCCCAAGTTTCAGCTTCATCCCAGACGGCATGCCGTTTTTTACTAAGATTTCCTGATATTTGACTGAATCCATCGTGCCCTCCACACGCTGCAGGTTTCCAGTGCCAGAGGCAGCAAAGCAGCCCCAGAGCATCACTGAGCCACCGCCATGCTTCACTGTAGGCAGGGTGTTCTTTTCGGCATATGCTTCTGTAACGTGCGGTCCTTTGGGGGAACGTGGAAGGACGAGGATAGAGGTAGCGTTTGACAGATTTTATTGTACACTCTTATTTGACACTCGTCCGGCTCCAGCTTCTCCGCCAGACTCTGCACTGCCGCTTTAGCCGGATCTCTCCTTCTTAAGAGGCAGAACAAACACACACTGATTAATATCAGCTGAGGCTGATTATGCCTCCCCCGGCACCGTTCCCCGAACCACTCCCTTCTCAGTCCCCTCTGCAGCCGAGCCAAACCACGCCCGCCACCACATACCCCCACCGCCCGACTTAGGCCGGGGAGTCATCCAGCCGAACCTACTCCCTCCCCCCTCATTCAGAAGCGGGAGAGGAAATCGGCCACAGCCATCTGCGCCCCCGGCCTATGGACCACCTTGAAGTTAAAAGGCTGTAGAGCCAGATACCACCGAGTGATCCGGGCGTTGGCATCTTTCACGCGGTGGAGCCATTGGAGCGGGGCATTCACAGAGGGTGAATGAGCGTCCCAGGAGGTAGTAGCGTAGGGAGTCGACCGTCCACCGGATGGCCAGGCACTCCTTTTCCACTGTGCTGTACCTGGCCTCCCTCTCGGACAGCTTCCTGCCGATGTACACCATGGGGCGGTCCACCCCCCCCACCTCCTGGGACAAAACGGCCCCCAGCCCCCTGTTCGACGCGTCGGTCTGCAGAATAAAGGGGAGAGAGAAGTTAGGAGTATGAAGGAGTGGTTCCCCACAGAGAGCCTGCTTTACCTTCTCAAACGCCTGCTGGCACTGCTCTGACCACTGGACCGGATCTGACGCACCTTTCCGGGCCAGGTCGGTCAAGGGGCTGGTGAGGTCCGCAAAGCCGGGGATGAACCGCCTGTAATACCCCGCCAGCCCCATGAACCGCCTCACCCAAAAAAGGTCCGCCTTTTGACACATTACCTCGTTAGTTTAATACGTATTGGCTAAAAATGTGTGTCAAAATTAGTAATTTCATTGGTTACATTTTCGTGTAGTGACTTATCAACACATGGCTAATTTTAATATCCAAATGAGCCATGTGTTGATGCGCCGTAACACGTGCTCGTGCGCAGTTGGTACCACAGTAGGGTTTCCAACTCTCCCAACCCCAAATCAGGGACACTTCCTTGCATTCCATGAAAGAGCCAAGAAATATGTGAGTGAAAGATATGACTTCTCTGAGAACAGCTTTCGTAGTAAAGTGTCAAAGCTTAGCCTGACCAGTACTGTGTCTTTTGAAGAATACTCTGATGCTGTCCAGGCCTGCAATCTGAAAGACATTGATCTAGATGAACTCAATGAGGAATATGGCGTGGTGGAAGCTGCACTCAGTTCTGCCGAAATGGAATGTTGCCACAGCGAGGAGCGGTATCTGAAACTATTTTCCACAGCAGATGTCCCACAAAGTCAGTGCCTACATCTTCTCCATCCCATGTAGCTTCCACCACGCACATACAGAGCGTGTATTTTCAATGATGACCACAGCCTGGAGAAACGAGAGAAATCGACTGGAAGTGGACAGTGTCAAGGCAGAGCTGCAGATTTGCATCAATTCGACAGACCAGTGCACAGAGATATACAAGAAATTCCCTGCGAACAAGAAACTCTTGGAAGCAGCCAGGAAAGGGCTGAAGTATCGCAAATAGACTGTGTGACAGTCCCAAGAGGCCAGACCTCCCTTCTACCATCAGATTCTCTATCAGCCTATACCCAGCCTCCTACCAGCCTCTACCAGCCTGTGACCAGCTGCCTGAACTCAAGGTCAGAATGTCATACAACTCAGTCCTGTTCATGTTAATTAGCATAAAAAATATTATTAGACCTATGTAATCTGAATTGGAAGGGCATGTTGTCATGAGTTGTATCTTGTATATTTTTTATTAGCTACGTGGTATGTGTATGCACCTTTATATAATCTGGTGGAAAAACATAGTAAAATTTAAAACCGGATCATACCAAACACATATCTGCTTGCGTGTCCCCGTGTATGCAAAGTGTCCTCCTTTTTGACGTGACGGAAATGGCCACCCTAGTCGAAGAACTTTCCCCAAAACCCGGAGATACTCGGCTCGGCTGTAATACGCATGCGCACTTGACCACCGAAGACGTGATTTCCTTTGAGGCGGCTGCTGGAAGCGGGAAGAAAGCGCTGGTCGGTCCAGAAGGTAAGTTTCAGCTAACGTTACATGATCAAATGTTACCGTTTACTGGCACCGTTCTACCTAGCAAACTTGCTAGGTGTAATGCTTATTAGCAGCTTCAATGATAATTTAAGTTATGTCAATCTTCCAATCTTCTGTCTTCCATTATATCGACACTCACGTCCCTTAGCCAGCCTTCTTTTGCTCACGGGTCTGTTGTCTGTTCTGAATGTTAGATGTAGCCACGCCCCCTGATTTGCATATAAGAACGTGAAATGTTAAACGGCATTATGAAATAAGTCTCTGGAAATGAAAAACGGCATTATGAAATAAAAGACTCTGGAAATGAAAAGTGGCATTATGAAATAAAAGTACGTATTTAATATTTATTGCCTCATTTATTTATTTCATGATGTATTTCAAATGCATATTTCATGTATTTACGTATTTATTCATTTATTTAATTTGGACTAAAACGGCATTCCATACAGGGCCCTTTAGTATCTACTGTCTTTCCCTACTCACTTTGAATAAGTGTCTTCTCTTACTTGATTATCTAATAATATCTAAATCAATCACAGTAGCTGTGTCTCTTCAATGCTCCGATTAGTGAAATTTGGGGAGCATTGTTTTTCTGTGAGGCATAAACATATAACTTATTTGTTCTACCATAGAAATGCAATTTGACATGCAATTGTGGTTTTAATGCTGGTGATAAATTTCCCATCAAAATCTGCCACATCCCATGTGCCTGCTACCCTCAGACACCGAGGAACATCATTGGGTTTGTTCAAAGAGTGCTTCTCTCACTTGGACCAAAATCCCTCAAACCCAAACTACAATCACTCAAAAACCTACTAATGCAGTGAGGGGTTGTCTTCATGATGTTTATGGTCTGTGACATGCTGCGTTAGACCCAAGACCTTCACCCTTACTCTTTACTATGGAAAATGTTTTGTTCATGTTGTCCAGACATTGTCCATTTGTTTGTTACAAACCATAGTCCTAACTTTTCATGATGCAAGGCATGCTATTTTCATATTGTGGGTAATTGCATGTTTTTTGCAAAAGTTTAGTTCATTAT